TATCATGAAGTAAGGATTATTAGAACTGTATTATTAGAACACAAACTATGTAAGAAATACTGAGCCTGATTTCCAGGCTTTATATAAATATTGCCTTATTCTGAAATTTAATATCACTTTCCCATTTATAATGGGAATCAATACTATAATATTTCTACTACTTTCTCTTTGTGATATTGTGATACTCAAATTAGTTTAATAAAAAAATTCTGTTTCTATGTTACATAAGACAGGAAAAATGTATATCCATTTAAGAACAATATTTTTGAAAGCTCTGTATTATTAAGAAGGCATCCCCTGTACTATTTAAAAAACAAAGAATTTTTTTTCTTAAACAAGGTTAGAAAAGCAACTGAGGAATGAATAAACATATTTCTTGAGGAAATTCATAAGCAGAATTAGGTCATTTGCTGGGTTCCATGGTACCACGGAAAGTATTTTTGTTTCAATGGCTGCACCAGTCACCCTCAGAGATTTTTATTTGTAACATACAGTGCCTGAGTGTCAGGTGAGAGGTACCATCAGTCCCCGACGTGACAGATGGAACCCTCCTCTGACACCCCACAGGCTTGATGTTCACATTGGATGTTAAAGTCTTTTTCTTCTAAAGGTAGATCTAGGGTCTTGTTTTGATTAAATACAAGTTATCAGTCCTTATTAGTTGAGTGTCTATTATGGACAGAATTTGAGCAAGAATGTGCTAAAATATATTAAATATAAAAAATATGTAAACTAAATACACGATATTACCGCTGTTAAAAGTGAAGTTTCAGCTAATGATCTGGGTGAGCTCTGTCCTGAGCACAGCACACAACTGAGGATCAAGCGCACATGAAGACGCAATAGTAAAAGGATTCCAAGGAACTGGTTCAGAAGTCACAGTGAGGGAGGAGAGGGCTGGGTGGATATGCCTGGAGGGCGGCAGGAACCATGCTGTCCCCAGTCTGTCCTCTCTCTGCCTCCTCCTCCCCCGCAGGAATGTTGCCTGGGTAACGTCACAAACATCAACAGTGACAATGGAAATTTCCTGTAAGCCACTAGCTTACATGGTCACTGAGCAAGTGAATTTTGTCTTAAGCCACCAAGAAACTGAACTTCTGCCTCTATTTAATCTAAATTATTTTTTAACTTAAAACCACACACGACTCCCAGTTTCTGAGTTTGATGGTACATTGTCAGATCCCACTACTTCTCAGGGCCCAGCACTGGATCCTCTGCCTTCCTGATGTATCAGCCCAGAGGCCCTACGGCACCCTAGATTCCTCATGTTCAGTGTGAACTCGGTCACTTTCTCCAAACCAGTCCCTAATTCAGTTATTAATTATTCAGTACAATCAACCTTTCTTAAGGTAGCACTGCCGACATTCTCCTTGACTCTCCTCCCATTTCACATCTCATGTGTCATAGAACCTGTCACTCAGTCTTAAAACTGCCTCTCAAATCTGTCTCCTGTTTTCCAAAATACAGATCATTCTTCTTCACACATATCACCAACAACCTGATCTTTAAATGCTGTCAAAAGAAGCTCATTGACATTAAGATAAAGTAGAAATTCCTTAAATTCCTCAAATGTCGCCTCTCGGGTGAATTCTTCAAATCTCTTAGAAGCAAAGTTCCATCTTCTCCCTCGCACACTTTGTGCAGGATCCAGCCCCTGAGCACACTGGAATTAATACTGCCCCGACCTCGCTGATCCCCAGACCTGCTCCTGGGTGTTGATTGTGTTAGTACTTCAAGTATGTGGCTGCGTGTTCAGCTTATGTTAGACCCCCAGGATGTTTAGATAACTAATAACAATTATCAGCTAAATGCTGAAGATTTAAAACATAAGTAGAAATTCCTGGGTGTAGAAGGAAAAATAAGCCTATTACAAACCCTGAATCCATGGCGATTTTTATTCATTTATTAAAGGATTAAGCAGCTAGGATTTATATTGATATTTAATTCATGTTTAGCCTTTGAAAAAAATTATTCTGCTTTCCATGATAATTTAAAAAAAAAATAGATGCTGCTTTTTAAAAGTAATTATGGAGGCAAAAAAAATTCTCCAGCGTTGATGCCTCACATGTCGCCCTTAGTGAGTTTATACTGAACCACCTGACTGTCATTGGAACAGTGATGAATTACACGTTTTCACATCAATATTGAGCTTCATTCATTATTTTCTTAGGTTCTATGGTTTCTATCAAAAAGATGAATGTCAAGACAAATTCAAACTTTGGAAAAGAAAGGAACTACAGAAGAATCCTGGAAAACTATTCTTGAGGGCTCACGGCTCATGTCTGGTCTATTTATTTATTTATTTTTAATCTGAAAATATTAAGGGAGTACAAGTTTTTCTGTAACACGGATAAATTGTATAATGGTTTAAATTTAGCAAAGACCAAACTATAATACAGGTTATTAACTTTATAATACGGAGAAGTTGTAATTTAATTTGACATAAAAGCGTTATTGTGACGGATGGCAAAGGTCTAGAAAGCAAAGACTCACTTATGTGGAAGGGTAATGTGTTCATCTCATAGACGTGGTGGGACCATGAAGTGTGCAGGCTCTCCTGAGAAAAAGGGCTGGGTCAGTGCACAGCTCCCCAAGCGGAGCACTTGGAGGGTGAGTGTCGTGATATTCTACAGCCAGGTATGGAAAACCTTTTCTAGGATGGGTTTGCAAACTTTTTTGTCTTACCTTGTATAACAAAATGGCTATTCCATAAAAAGAGTTCCAGAATTGGTTTGAGGGTGGACTAAACTCTGTCATTGGTGCACAGCTTCCCAAGGGGAGCACTTGGATGGTGACGACTGTGATACTCAGCAATGGGAACGTACCAGTTTTTCTAGGATGAGTTCGCAAACTAAATTGTCCAAACTTGTATACCAATGGGCAACAAACCTACAAAAAAAGCTTTAAAGTCTCTAACCAGTAGGAGAATGCAAATCAAAACCACATCAAATATATCTGGAAACACATGTAAAATACGTAACAATTATCTATGAATGAATGTGTTATCTTTTCTCTATGGATTTTTATTTTTTATTTGTTTCAAAGTAATTTTGTTTTAATTTGTGCATGTTGAAGCTGTGTTCTCTGCTCCCCTATTCCCTTCTGGGCACATCCCTGATTCCCAACATATTCTGAGGCATTTTAGTGAGGTCAAGACCTTGGACATCAAGGACCAGCATCTGAAATCAAAGCCTTGCCTTTTCTCTGGTGGGGGAATTCACATGCTGGACACTATCATCTCATTTAAATATCTAATGTCAACATGGTCTCAAATTGCCCCTTCCACAAAAATTCTTGATTTTCCTGATTCACAGAAAAGCACAGAAAATATTACTATTCTAATACTCCAGAATTCTCTAATGCTTTGCTTACAAATAAATAAACACAGACTTTTAGTAGAAGAATATTTGAATGAATAAATATGTGCTATAAATATTCACTTATATGTTTATCACACATATATGATCATCCTTCCATATTCACATATATCTAATCTCCAGGTGTTATGTTGCTAAGATTTTGACTACTAAGAAGTTATTTTGGGTCCACTTCTATTTCACTATATCCAAATAATAATGAACAATCAAAGAATGGAGATGTTAAAAAATCAAGTCACTTGACTGGGATAAGCTTTGTGTCAGATAATTTTGCCAAGCTAATAAACATATAGTTAAGATTCAGATATTTTGAGCTTAAAAGAATTTTAAGCAAAATGTATTTCAAGCTCTTCTTATATCAAAGTTGCAAAGAAGTAAATTCACACTGCTCTCTAGTGCCAGAGACGCCATGGCCTCCACATCCTGAGCTCATTCTGTGGCTACTCGACGGGCTCATTAATTTTAACCCACTTCCTCTCCTTACAGAAGATGATCAGCCTTGGAAAGTTTCACTGAGATTTAAGAATGAGTCAGGCTTTCAAGTATGTGTATAAATACGGATTCCCTTAGTGATATTAGGGTATCAATATTATCTATCTATCAGAATTCTATCTCCAAAAGGCAGGTTATAACAGGTTAAATAAATAACAGGAAAATGTAAAAGTTCATATGATATCAGGAATATTAAATTTATGTACTCCATATTATAAAACTTAATTTACTTCATATACTATGTAATAGGCTTACAACTAGCAAAACACAGACACTCCTCAGCTTACAACGGGGTTAAGACCCAATAAATCCATCATAAGTTAAAAATAGAATAAGCAGAAAATGCACTTGACTTTTTTAACTTAATATACCTGACCATCCAGACATCACAGCTTCGCCTCACCCACCGTAAACGTGCTGAGACACTTACCTTAGCCTACAGGTGAGCAAAATCATCTAGAACAAACCCTATTTTAAAATAAAGTGTTGAAGATCTCAGGCAATTTATTGAATATTTCATTGAAAGTATAGAGCAAAAAACAAAAAAAGTGTAAAACAAAATCCTAGTATGGCACTCAAAGTAGGACTTACACTGAATACGTATTGTTTTTACACCCCTATAAAGTAAAAGAATTCTAAGTTGAATGAGTGTAAATCAGGGTAAGAACACGGTAAAAACATTTCTTTTTCTAAATGTAGTCTAACCTTTTCCCTAAAAAGGAACCTTCTTTAACTGCAGCTAAAATGTATCATAAACAAGTACCTTAAATATTAAAACAAATCTTTGAAGAGAAATTCAAAGACCTATTTTATGTGCCCTTAACTCTAAATAAAGAGATATATTTGAGAATATAACACAAAGTTGCTTTCAGATTGAGAAAAACACTAATTGTTTTATTGAAAATTAATTTTTACTACTAATTACTGGTTATGGGTCTGCATGACTTTGAATGAGTTGCTTATCATCTTTACTCCTTAGTAAAATAATAGGAAGTACTAAAATCCTTTGTAGTATATTATATGAATAAAAATATATAGATTTCTTTTTATTAATTATTTTTCTTTCCCCTGTCTATGAAAAAAGAAGAACAAAACTTTCCCAAACAGTTTATGAATGCATTTCTTCCCTACCTTGGTGATCGTTTCATGAAGATTGAAAAAAGGATCCATTTCTTCAATATCTGTTGCATGTCTAGGAAAAAGTGCCTCGGAGAGAAAACTTGGACCCTGTAGCAAATCAAGAAACAAACATTTAAAACTCTTCATTGATTTTCTTTTTCAAGTACTTATTGAATTTTCTTTGGAAAGTCAAAAGGACTCTAAATTGCTTTAAGGTTTCTGTTGATTGCTGGACTTCATTCTTCTGATCTAATTACCCATCACAGAATATTTATGAATTAAAATGAATACAGTTCTATAACATTTGACATTATGTGTACTTAGAAAAAATGTCTTCTTACCCAAAGAGATAATTATTGATATTTCCCTCACCTTTTATTCCCAAAATGCAGACTTACATGTAAACACCTTTAACTGTAAAACTTCCATGAGAAATCCCTTCTCTATTTTAAATAGAAGGGATTTCTCTATTTAAAATAGAGAAGGGATTCCACAGAATAGAATGTTTTTGATAAACATGATTACATAGAAAACCCTAGACAAAATATTCAAGATATTTGAAGTATTATCAAACTAACTTCAAAACAATAGGAAGATATATTAATATTTGGGGTAGAACTGCCACATGGTTTTATATGTTGTCAACAAAGTATCAAAACTTTAGTGGGGAGATGTTTGAAATGAATCAGAGACCCTAATTAATTCATTTTATACTTGCAAGTGTAGCCAAGGCTCACAATGCAAGAAGACCTGGAATGCTGATGGTATCATCTAAAACAAGACGCTTGGAGACAGTCACCAACATTACTGATATCATAAGAAATAATTATCGTTCACAATGTAAATATAACTTATACTCAAAAACCTGATGGGTCTAGGTCATTTCTACAGAAAACAAAAGAATTAGGGCAGAATATATACATGTATGAATGGATAGATTTGTGGAAAGATATATAATCTTTTTGAAGACTCATGAGGAGAAGAGATTTAACTCGATCTTTGCCAAAGGGATTGCAACAGGTTAACAAATTTAAGCAGAATTTTTATCCATGATAGAAAAGAAAGTTAAAATGATGTAGTTGTTAGGCTTTCAAGTTATATAGATGGAAACCAAAGCCAACATATTTTTTTTTTACATTAAACAATTCTGTGACAAGGTACACTCTTCACTTCCTATTTATAAAAATTCCAAGATCAAGCAAAAGTAACCTAGCTGCTTGATATACCCAAATTTTGAACAAGACCACAAGTCAATGGAACGACATATTTTCAAGATGAACAATGTATTTACCAAAACATGTTTTGTGTGCCTCTCACCTCATTTTGCCCACCAATCTAAAACTAATTTGATAGAAATTCTGCCCAATTCTCAAGCAGTACTCCTCTTTGTAATTCTTGTTGTAAGATTTCTCAACCCAAGACTAAAATCTCATAAGTAATCTTTCCTAATTTCCTTATTTCTAGAGCCTACTAAGACTCAGTTGAATTTTCTTCCTCAAAACTTAAGATAGCTTATTATCATATATACATACCTAAGTTGGATGTCCTAGGGATTATGACTTCCAAAATATGCTGAAAATTCTAAAAGTACTTTTGAAAATATGTTGAATGTGACCTTATTTAGAAATAGACCACTGCAGATGTAACCAGTTAAGTACAATGAGGTCACAGCACAATAGCCTGAGTCCCTACTCCAAGGTAACAGGTGACCCTATAAAAAGAGGACGCAGACACACACAGGGAGAACACCATGTGAACAGAAGTCAGAGACCAAGGTTATCGGTCTACAAGCTCGGGCACACCAGAGACTGAGAAAACCACCAGAATCTAGGTAAGAAGCACGGAACAGAGTCTCTCTCAAAGGCCAGAGAAGGATGGAATACTGACAGCACCTGAAAGATGAGATAATAAATTACTGTTGAAGTTCCCAGCTGTGGTGCATTGTTACTGGGGCTCTGCAAATTAACGCATTCCGGCAAGGTGGCGTCCTCCTGACTGCAGCAGGTCTAATAAACTTAATTTTACTTCTCAACAGGTTTTTTTTTGGAGGTATTTTGGGTCATCACTATAGGCATAGGTTAAAATTTTGGTTTTGCTACTTAATAAACTGAAGTAGTTTATTATCCAAAAGATTAGTTACTTTGTCTAAGACATTGGACAATAATACATTTTTTCACAGAGATGCAGTGACCTGTCCAATGACTGACCCATAGAAGACACTGTGTTAACTAGCACTATAGTTGTTACTAAAAAAAAAAAAAAAAGCCATAAATGATGATTCAGCAGTGGTAGCAATGATGGCGATGTAAGCAATTGAGGGCTTCCAGCCTCGGTAGGATGCCCAACTAGAGAAAGTGATGATTCTGCGAGAAGAACAGTTTGCCTCTAGATATGCTGAGTTTCCAGATAGAGATGACTAAATCAATGCCAGGGGAAGTGTGACACGAATAATTTTTGTGTTCATTTTTATTTAATAATTAATCTTTGAAGTCGTTGAAAGTTTGCTTAACAAGTATTTTTAAATAAACTTCTTGGAGTGGTTTTATCTTCTTAGTTTACTTAGAAAAATAAAACTTCACTAATAGTGTAGATGTAAAATATCAGCCAGCTTCAAATTGAACGATCCCACAAGAGTGTAAGTGGGGAGTTATAATTAATGAGAATGTTATTGAACTTTCAATAATTTAATGGCAGAACATATTAACTTAAATTATAAATATGATCCTGATTCTCCAATGTCACTCCCTTCTTTTTCTTGCTCCTTTTCCTATTTCTTGACATAACATTCTGTGTCTTCAGTGCCTCCTTTAATTCATCAGTTAAAAAAATGTTCCTGTAACACTTTCTCTGTGCCAGTTAAATGCAGGACACGATCCTTAGGCACATAAAGTTTAGTCTAACGGGATGTGGACACATAAAGACCAACTATCCCTGCTTTCAAACGATTGAGACAACACACCTGCTTTGTTCATATACATTATGAATATAATAGATGTGTTTAATAAACAGGTATATATATATAATGAAAAGATTTTTTTAAAAGTATGTTTTGTGAGAGGAATAAGTAGTTAAGTAAAAGTAAATATAAAGTAATGGCTGTTTAATCCTGTCTCACATGATTAATGCAATATTAACTATTCAGAAAGTGCTTTTATTTTAAAAAAAAATAGATAAAAATAAAACAAACCTGACACAAGCCAAGATATAGAAATTTTAATACTGAGTGTCTGCCACTTAGAGATCATAATGAAACTATTACTGAAGAAGGGATATTGATAAAAAAAAAAAAAAAAAAACCATTCAGAGTAAGGTGTAAAATTCAACATGGCTCCCGCACTTTCTAACTTACTTGTTTTCTTGAGTAACATTCAACAACAGTGATCACACTGTTCTTCCTATTCTGCTTCTTCCAACTCTGCTGCCTAGAGTCCATGACTTGCATATTATTATCTACCTGTAACTTGATTTTTTTTTCCCTTTTTGAAGTTTCACATGGTTTCTGCATGGTTGACCCTCCACCCTCTGTTCACAGGCTCTGTAGGTGGTTTCATCTGCTTCTTCCAGCTTCAACTGCCTACTTCACATTGACGGCTTCCAAGACTTTATCTCTAGCTCTGATCCCTGTTCTTGGTTCATCATTTCTGTTTGTCTACACAACCCTTCAGACACACCAACCTGCCATGTCCCAGCCCAGGCTAACATGTCCCCTCCATGTCACCTCTGTCTGTTACCTTGGGTGTCAGTATGTCTACATTTTACCTACATGTAAAAGAGTGAGTCATTCATGACTCCAGTCTCCTACACTCTCTGTACCTTCTTACTGCACTGGCCGATTTCCTTCCAATCTACTCAGTTGGGTATTTCTCTACCAGTTCTTATCTCTTGTCTTAGTCTACTAACTTCTTACTTTCACCCACACTATGGTCCCTGTTGTCTACAGGCCAAAGCCCAAGCTTGGTATGGCATTTTACCACCCAGCTCCTTGTCTGGACCACTTCCACATGTCCTTTCCCTATGTCACCAAATCTTGAGTCTACCCTTACGCTTCACATCTCTGTCACTTTATTTATGCTATTTCTTCTTCTGCCTGCCACATCTCCCCTGGACCATTTGGCACGCTTCTCTGTATGATTGTTTCCCCGATCTTCACCCACTCTTAGACTAACTGCTCTCTAGTTGATGTGTCCTCACCACTTATATTTACTTTTGCTTACTACTTATTACTTTACATTTTTTGTATATTTCTATTTATTTCACTCTATCATGAACTTTTTAAAACCTAGGGTAATTTTCTTATCAAAATAGTCTAAAATTGTCAGACAATCTTAAGTGAATCATTTAATTCTCAATCCTAGTATCATCATCCATAAAGTTGAAACACAAATATACCTGTCTTTCCCACCTCGGAGAGCTCATGTTAAGAGTAAGCAAACAAAAAAATAAAAAACAAAAAAAAAATGCCCATGTAAGATGGAGAGGACGACTGTAAAATAGATGTGTTAAACTTCTCTGTATAGCTGAGAGCTGCAATTATGAAATCTAAATTAGCGGAAATGTCTTTATTTTGAACTTCATAAAATTTCACTTTTAAAATGTGTAACTCTTAAAATTTGAATACCATTTTTATGGTGGCAGACATTTTTTGGAAGGTTTTGTTATATTTTTACGTGCACATTGAGGATAGCACATATTGATGCATATGGGGGGATTAAGTGAAAAAATATGATGGAAAGTAGCAGTGTAGACAGAACGCCATTTCAGTCACACAGAGAAAGAGCAAGAAACTGAGCTGACGGGTGAGGTTGGAATTAGAGAGGAGGACGTGACTGTGCAAAGGCCTGAGAGAAAGTCAGTAGCACTTGATGATTATCAGATGTGAGAGTCTTAAAAAGAAGTCAAAATTGCAAGTATTTCTAGACTTAGTAGAGTTCATACATGAAAATTTCATTAATTTAGAAATTATGGAAACACACGCATGTTTGTGTTAGAAAATCTTACACATACACCCGAGTTTGGAGGCTCACATCTGTAATCCTAGCATTTTAGGAGGCTGAGGCAAATGGAGTGCTTCAGCTCAGTGGATTAGGACTAGCCTGAGCAGGAGTGAG